ATAAAAATTTTCGCAAGTATCTCTTTCCCTCCTTAAAAAAAGAAAGAAAGAAGAAAGAAAGAAAAACAAAAAGAGAAAAGAAAAAATTGAATCGCTCTTCGTTATACACCCTTACGCTCTGTTCCAGCGAACCGATATTCAAAACGCGTTTCTTTGCGCTCTCTCGTCCAACTTGTAATAATTTTACAAAGCGGCACCTTTGATAAAACCGTCCCACATAATTATCAGGCAAACTCGAGCCGAAGTTCGTTGCATAATAGATCGATAAAGTCGATCACTCTCACGCGTTCCAATTATAAGCGTCTATAAGCGTTCCAACCAACTTGTTCAACGACGGAACTTCCGGAGAGACGACTTATATAATTAAGACGTGGAATGACAAGAGGGAAGAGGGTTGGTCGAAACGAGATAGGGATCGTTAATAATTTTCCAGGGGAGGAGAAAGGGGGAGAGAGAGTATCGGTCCCGCGAATAATTTCATGTTTGCCGCGAGCCACTTCGGTTCCCATTTCGATTAATTATTACCGCGTGTTTCATAATTAAGCGGCCGTCATATCGTGGATCAGGCAAGATCGCCAACCCCCTCTTAAGATCCTTGTAAAACTGAATTTACGAGGAATTTCTCGTTTCCCCTTGCAATGGTTCTCTTCCTCGTTACGTCTGTAATACCATCATCGTAACAACAGCAGAGAGAAGCAGTTACCACTCGTGCAAGAAGAAATTCATTTTTTTACGGGGTGAATATTCCTCCAGAGACCACTTGATTAATATAAGAATTAATATTAAGAATTGTATACAATTTTGTTGTGAATGATATATAATTTTATGAATTGTTAATATTCCTCATAATGTTGATTTTTGGTTTCTTTTTTCTTTTCTTTTTCTTGCTATGTACGGTTCAAAATAAAACTCATTATTTATCTCTATCAATAATAATCTTTTTACGTGTTTCAAGATAATGGTTCGAGAACCATTTTTAATTTTTAATTTTCTTCAGATGAACGATACTATGAATAGAATGATAGAAACATTATCGAAGAATCCATTGGCTTGTTTCAACTCTCTATCTTTCCAGTGACTCTGGTACTACGTCGTCTAATTCCCTTACCTGTTAAATTGCGGTCTTAGAAGTTAGCGGACGTTGTACGTCGTAAGTTCAGCTATCTTAGGGGGAAACGCGTATCCTCTCCCATCCCTTAGTGAATTTCTCTTCCCCCCGGCGATCCGTGTCCTCCGAGCATAGTCATCGCTTCTTTTATTACACAATAAATCTCGACGGTTTTTTCGCCAAGGGAAAACGATTTTCTTCGTAATGTAATTTTCCAATTAGAAATTATTACTTTTTATATACGTTTCGTCTTGTTACGCGAGAAGATCGATCTTGCGACTTTCTCAATTAATCGAAGATTGTGTCCTTTTTTTTTTTTTTTCGACGTATTGAACAATTATTGACGATATATTCGATCTTTTATTTATAAAATGATATATCGAAAAAACGACGAGGGAGCACATATGTCAAGCATATGCAAGTTCACAAAAGTTTAAAAACTTTTTAAAACGAAATAAAGGTAGAAGAGTGTCGATAAAATGCAAAAAGGGAAGTCGTTAGAAGATAAATGTTTTCTTTTTTTCTTTTTTATATCTTCCAACTATGACACTGCTTCCCCTCGAAGCCGTTTATACGTTCCATAAAGGAGAACAGGAAGTCGTTTTTTCGATGATGAAAAACGGGATCCACGTTTATCTTCTTTTTTTTTTTTTTTTTTTTCTATTATCGAAGAATTTTTATAACTTTATGCATCAAATTGAAGAGTTCAACATCCATGAGAGGTGATATTAATGAGGACGATCGAGTAGATTTAATTGGAATAAATTCACCGGAAGTCGATGAAATTAGGCGATGCTCAAGGACAAGGATGGAGCGTAATGTAAATAAGATCTTTGCAATTAAACCAAGATACTCGGTGGATAAAGTTGATCACAAACGAGAAAAGTTGGGGGCGTTGTTAGTTTAGGTATCATCCCCATGGCTGTCGAAAGTTACGAATGTACCAATTTTCTCAGTTAGAAACTTTGCAATTAAGTCTTGGCGAAGAGGATTGCCTTTGTAAACCCATCTGCTAAAAGTATAATGGTTAAAAATGTATCCCACCTAAGTCCAATTAATATCCACTTTACCTTTTCGTCGCTGATCAATGTTATCAGTCGTTTACATTAATTATTTTCATTGATCTTTTAATTTAATATCGTATCATTGAATAATTTATGTTACTTCGATGCGAATCCTGATACGAATGAGAAATGAAAATATCGTATTTACAACGGTACAGATATAAGAAGATAAAGTAATAAAATGTAAAAACCAATGTTTTTCATTAAACGTCACTTTCCGGTTGCAAACAACAATATCACCCTCCTTCGTTTCATCCTCGGTATTCAAGTATTCCAACCTTTTATTCAAGTTTACGCAATATTTATCCCCGTTGAACGATTAAATTTCTCGTTGTCGGCGATCGCCAGAACAATAATTTCCTTTTTCCTTCTGTCTTCATCATTTCTATCGTTAATTTAATCGTAATATTTTGCGATTGTACTTGATAGTTAAAAGAGAAGGATAAACTACAACGTTATTGCGAATATATAACAAAAGAAATCAAAGTATAAACAATAACAGTTTTATCACAGCGAATCTTTATCCATCCAACATCTTTCGATTCACCAACGAGTGTAAGATTTTCCAACATGTCCTAAGACGACGTGGACAAGTTTATATAACGTACAACTCTATTTTTCCTCGGCAACGTGAAATTGATATCGATATTATCCGACTGAACCATCGAATTTGCTCGAGGCATAGCTTCCGTCTCGTAATGGGATTTTGATACTGGTTGAGAGGTAGAGCAACTCCCTCATCATGGGAATAATTTCCTCGTCGTATCTGTATCGCGTTCATTACACCTTGCACGTTGGAACCTTGATATGTTATCGAAGGCTTACAAGCCTCACCGAATCTCTCTCTGTTCTTACCTCCTTAATGCAAATCAAAGGGATAAGGAGAAAAATTTAGTAGCTACTCTAACGTGATAAAATTAATCTTATTTGTCTGCTAGAAATAAAAAATATAGTAGCTACAAATGGACATTAGTACTAAAGTCAAATCAGACAAAGACAATTCTTATTTTCTCTATGCTTTGATTATGGTTGTATTGTCGTAACAGATAGAAACCAGCACATCTGGATGTAATAATCGACAGACACCACAGAGATAATTCGAAGTCACGAGACTCGATAAAGCATCCTGATTCATGCAATTCAACACAAATTATAGTGGTCCACGATATCTCCAAACTCCGTTAGATACAGCCGAATAGATCTATACGATTCGACATACAGAAATTGATTAATGATACAGAAATTATCAAAAGTGAAATTTTATACAATTCAGTGTTTGATATGTGTGTGTGTATACGATACAATCCCAACAAATCTCGTGGAAGCCTCCAATCTCGAAACTGTTGAATATACTCTATACTCTAGATTCCAAAGCGTTGAGAAGTTTCAGAATTTTGAGGATCATGATTATCCTTGAGATCCCACAGACCTTCAACATATTCCTCAGCTTCTCAGGATATTACAAGTTTCTGGTTTCCCTCCATTCCTTATATCACTTATTGCGCGTAATTTACCTAATTTATCGCCATATTTCTTACATATTTGACACCGTAAATTATCGTCTTGATAACCTTGTAAGTTGTAACTTTAAATCTAAGCGAAAAGTTAGAGCAATATATCAGTGAAAACCTTGGAATTCTCAACGCATATCGAATACTGGGTGTCGTAACGAATCCGCTTGTGCGTTGGATCAGTTTCCAGCGCAGGGGCGCGAATAGTTCAACGTGTTCCATGACGCCTATATTGCCACCATAAATCTAACAAGGCGGTTCAACATTAACCCACCGACCACCGTCTATACTTCCGGCATTGGTTGACCTCCGCGTCCAATAAAATACCTGTCTATACACTCCGCGATATTATTTACAACGATTTAATGAACTGTAACAGAATTACGAGCTTCCGGTTAAAATTACACGTTTATTCCGAGAGAGAAAGAGAGAGGAAAAAAGGGATTTCGCCCATTTATACGTATGACGCGGATAATTCGGATAACACGTAATAAAGCTTATTTTTAACGATGAAATGAATCTTCCTCGACATTAATTTCTCTCGTTAAATTCTCCGAATTAGCTCCAATGATCTTTACGTGCTAATTTTTATCGTCGTATTTTTAAGGATTTATTTGCAGAGAAATATTTATGACGCCACGAATTCGGTTTATATTTATCATTATGTTTGTACTCATATCCCTTGTTTCTAAACGTGAGATTCTCTTGTTGCTCTTATCGTTTTCCTTATTTGTAGAAAAATTTTATCGAAATTTATTTAATAAATTGGCACCAAATCGTTTTGGAATATAAAAAATATTCCCAATATTTCAATTTAAATTTATTTCTTCCCTGCGATTTTATTAAAATTTGCCAACCAATTGTTTCATCGATTCGTTTCCCTAGATTTTTTTTTTTTTTTTATTTTATTTTCGTAGACGCAATCACGCGAATGATCATAGACCAAATTCCAGGATATAAATCTCTACGCTGTAGAGACGAGATAGTGGAGTGGAAAATTGGATGACGATGTGGTCGGTTCACAGGTGGATTCTATCCCCCCAACTCTCTTTGTCCCACCGCAAATAAAATACGTTTCAGAACATTTGGCATGAACACACTGCGAAATTTGGCAGATACGTGCACGTTGCCCGTTGAAATATTAACCGATATTGCAATCTCCAACTCGTTTCTTCTTTCTCCCCCTTTTTTCCTCATCCAAAACAGATAGAAACGAAGATTATAAAGAGTTACACACGAATTTTTCGATATACTTCTTTTTTTATAATATCTTCACGCGTATTTGCAATTCATATATATTCGTTCCTTTTGTTGCAGAGTCACGACAGCTGGCAAGGACACGACGGAGACCAGGTGAGCATCCATTACAACTGACGAGAATCAACATTGCTTTGCTTTAAGCTCTAAGCATGCTGCCTTTCTTTTTTTTTTTTTTTTTCTTTCTTTCCTGTCATCGTGCACCTTGAATTAAACACGTCTGTATTAGTAACACGTCTTAACATCAATTTTTCGATTCATCTCATCAATTTTTTTCAAGCAAAAGTGTTATATTGATTTGTCAGGATTTGCAGTGTATACTTGTCACGCATGCTTTAGAGAAAAAAAATTAGAGATTAATATTCGACCAAAGAGGATTGCCCACAATTTATTATCTATCTCCAAATATCGTTTTTTTTTTTGTATGTTTTGATGCACGAAAAATGAATCTAAACGATTCAAAGAACATACATTTTCGATCGAGGAAATCTCGTCGCGCATATATCACGCACAGTTTTCCAATAGTATTTGCAAGGATTGCATAGAAACGGCATAGGAACGTGGTGATAGAGAATATGCGGGGAGAAAGCAATTTGCATGACAGTGATACATATGACTCGAATTCTTACCATCTGGTTACATGGTTACGAGCTGCAGTTTATCTCTTCGTTATTGAGAGCGTTGTGGTTTAATGATGCAGCGGTTGCAACGACCGATGCATCACAGTTGCAACGTTTAAATACTGGCGATTGCCGGTTGTTCCAAAATTCGTGAAAATATTTATACCAATCTATGAAATCTCGAGTAATACCTTCCCAAGCGTCGTAAAAAATTTAGAATAAAATTTTTTATTGACCCTTTTATTGGTAAGTTGTGCCCAACAAAATTTCCGAAATTCAAATGCACTCGTACAGTTAATAATTCGACGACTATTAAAACAAGACAATAATTGTTATAATTGCTAATCCCTTTGTATCTTCCCAATATACTCAATTTATGCCTATTCTATTCTCCAAAGAATTTAAAAACCAACCGACAAGCAAACACGTTACGAAACTGTTCGCGAAATACATTAATTGAATTAATGTTCAATCGAATTGATGTAAAGAGACCATAAAAAAAATTCCTCGACGAGTTCCGCTCCACCTCTTCGAATACGAGAATATTTCCGCGAGACGGAACGTCCCTTGAGCTCCGAAACGCTTTTTACGAGGAACGAAAGACGGTAGAAGCACTTAAGAATGAAGGCCGGTTGAATGAGATTTAGTGTACCGTCTAATCGGGTTTACTCTCGCCTAAAGACTACGCCCCTCGTTGATGCGGTGATACAGACTTGGACTACCACAGCGGAGGAATGATGACGGGTGTGGGTGGAGAGTGGAAAGAAACTGAGGAAAACTGCGAAACCGAGGGGACGCGCGACGTGAATTTAAAAAGATTCGTTAAACCTTGATACCGGTACAGACTTCGTTCCTCTGTGGGGGAACTCTTTGTTAAGCAGTTCGACTATTTTCGTAATTCTCCTCCCCGAGAGATTTATCTCGGTAAGAAGATTGGGCTAACCGTGTTTCGACATCCGTGTTGAAACGACTATAATCGATTTTATCGTTTCTATTTGTCAAACTTGTCCATTCGAGTTTTGAATAGCAGTTCAATTAACCGAAAATTATATTATTCGAACTGTGTAATTATTATTTCTTATCGTTGTTTCTTATCACAGCAGAGGATTTAAAATTGACGTTAGATAATACACGATAATATCGCAAAGACAAAAGTATCGAGATATCCGTAATCATTGATATCAAAAATCAGACGAAAATGTAGAATTTCCAATTTTTGTAATCTTGTTGTATTATATTTTCCTCGAAATCTGAGAATAATTCATCGAAGAAATGTCTCTGTTCCATTATTCGGATGATAAAAGTTTTATTGTGATTCATTTTTGTCAAAGATTATATTGAACTTTTATCTTTTTCTATTTTCTTGCAAGCAAGAACTATTTTTCTGAACTTTATGAAAGGATTTGAAGTTTCCAATAAAAATTTGTATTGTATCGAGGAGATGTCCTCCAGATTCCAATATTCGACATCTTCATACCGTTCAAGAGCATCTCGAAGAATCAAGTTCTGGTCAATGATTCTTGCCACAGACACTACAACGAGCTATACCATACCATTCTTCGATAGCGTCCCCCTTCCAAGAGAGGGATTCTGTTTCATCTTCCATCTTCTTGTTTCGAATATCTACAATATGTCACCCTCCTCTATACATCATCCCTCTGCCGGCTTTATTCTCTTTGTAACAAAGCAAATCACTCCTCCATCTCTTCCCTTGTTCACGACAGACAATTTTGTGTCGAGATACTTCTTTGCATCGTGAAAACTCTCTTAAGTTAAATCCTTCGGACGGATTTGATTTTTCCTGCAACCCTCTTTTAAACGTAAAATTTCGAATATCATCTACTATCACGAATTCATTCATTTTATACATTTCCTTTTTATAAATTACGTATCATTATGCGAATCTTTTTATATATTAAATAACAAAATATGCCTCATTGGATTTCCGATAATTCTTTCCCAATGGAAAAGGGGATTGATCGAAGATTTCCCGCCATTGAAGTACATGTCGAACGAAATCCCACCACGATTTGCGGACGTGAGTTCCCATGGGAATCCTCGCCTGCTGATGTTGGCCAAATTGCTATGTCGAATCCAGATGAAATCGCTTTCATAGGGACATACATTGGAATTCACCGATATTCAAATATTTTTAGATCCTTTTTTTTTTTTTTTTTACGATTGTATTGAATTTCCCCTTAATTTTAGATATTAATTGATCGTAGATATCGGTAATAACCTCATTTATGTCGTCTTCGATTAAATCACTGATTCCATTTCGATTAATAATAAGTATTTATAATACGATATAAATGTATTCTCTAAAATTAAATGAAATATGTTTAGAAATCGTTAGAAATTTCTTTCTTCTTTCGATGTAAAAAATTTAAAATTCACCAGTCGCGAAGAGAATTCATTTCACTTTGTTCCAATATTTAAACTCATTTAATATTTACAATCCAATAATCCTCGTTTAACGAAGGAATATTAAACAAATCAAAGTATTGTACACACTTGAATAAAATAATCTAAGAGATTTTGTTCCATCGCTTTTCGGAAGATTTAGAATGGCTTCATGGATCTTTTATAAAATTTCGTTTATTATTGGAACGTCAGGTTCCTTCCTATTAAACGGCTTCAAAATTTCTCTTCACTCGGTATATATATATCATGGTGACTAACACGGGGAAAAAGGGCTTGCTGCCAATTATCCTAACTTATAATCCTACCCAGCTTCGTCTCCGCTCTCTCTTTCTCTTTTTCTCTCGCTACTTATCCCTTTTTTTTCTTCGGCCTCTTTTTTATTCCTCGATGAACATTGCGAGTCTCGCCGCAAATGAGCCACTTCAGTTTATGAGAGATTAGCCTAGGGTGTTCGGCAGCTAACTTCTTATCCTTCTCTCTCTCTCTCTTTCTCTCTCTTCCTTTATGTGTGCGCGCGCGTGTGTTTTTTTTTCTCTCTCTCTCTCATTATTAGGGTCATACGGGAGGCGGAGACTGCTGAGATTCAACCGCGGACAAACAAATTCTGAAAAATGCGAGAAAGAAACGGAGGTTTCACGAGGTTTGGTAGCCCGACACGCACTTTTAATTAAGCTCCAGCGACATTTTCCTGTGTTCGATGCAATAAATTACGAAATCAATTGTTTCTCATTGGTATTGTTTTTTTTTTCCTCACATATCCTCTTCATCTTTCCACCCTTTCATCATTACACGAATAATTTTTTGAAACGAATTCTTTTATCGTTAATATCTTCTTTAAAATCGTCAACTAGGAGAGTATTTGCAAATCGAATATACAAGATGAATTTCGTCGAAGAATTATAGTAAATATTTTACCTATCAAGTGTAATATGAGTGTTACATTTAATTTATCGATTTAAATTATTTCTTTGCAAAAAAATACCGTGCAACAGATTATATTAAGTAGTTTATCGACAGAGTTTATTAAGAACGGTTAGTATAATTCAGACAATAAGTGCATAGGTGTCACTTATTGTCTGAATTCTGCCTTAATTGAACTAAATTAATTATGCCACAAGCGAGAAACAGAGGAGACACAATGATATCTTGTGGAATTTTGTATGTACATGCTGTGAAACATCGATTTCAAACGAAATTCTTATAAAAAAAATTTGAAGAATATCTAATAGGATTGGAAAAAACTACCACATTTGACACAGGAATAAAACGAATTATTGGGTGATCGAGACGAACAATTTAAATACACTGATACCCTAATAAATATTTATAATATAAGGATTAAATAATTCGTGGATAAATCCTATCTATCGGAAAATAAAAGATTTTCACATAAAAAATAAACACATCGTTTATAAATCCCATCTATATGAAAAACTAAATTTTTACCCATTATATAAAAATCCAAACAAAGATGTTTCATTGTAATAATTTTGAATGACAAACGAATTAATAATAAATAATTATATTTTTTAACATTACCTTCAATATCCACGTTTTGTGACATGATTCAAGATGCTGAAAAAAAAAAAAAAGACAAAGAAAAGGTAGTCAGAAGGACTACCAAAATATTATAATAATTATCCACTCGATATACCCGAACAAACCGTGAGTGGAATATATTTTCTCTTTCGCAACACTAGTATGCTAAGTTTACAAAAGAAACCGTAGAGTGCTTTATTTTATTTGCAATGTAATTCTTAATCAAAAAAAAAAAAAAAAAAAAAAATGAAGAAAAAATAAATGATTCCCGAATATCTTAGACGTTTTAATAATTCACGCAACACTAATAAATACTAATTTATGCACTCATATTTTGATATACGCAACACTAATAGCGAAGAATTGAAGTCGGTGCAGCCATATCAAAGGCTGCCGTTGTCAAATCATCATTGTGCAGCTTTTCTAGCTGCATGATGATTCAGGAACAATTTCCACCATATCAGTGGAAGAATTTTGGGCATATTGTAAACGCAACACTACTTAAAAAACGCG